TTGTAATGTTGCCTAAATCGTCTCTACCATCCTTGATAACTAAGCTCTTAATTTGTGTGCCGAGGTGAAATGATCCATATAATTCAATGGGATTGACAGAAAAACAACTGCATACATGGCATGGTTATGCAAACCTCTGGCAATGATCCCAAGTGGTCTAATGTAAGAAGGAAATGCTCACATCTTTCATGCCTGATAATTTATCTTGCTTGCAGCACCCAGGCTGTATTCCTCTAACCAATGCTGTCAGTCGAGACCCATTTGAAGCTCTCTGTATTACTGAGCAAAAAACAAAGAGGAAGGGTGTGCCTTGTAAATTTTGAGACTCACAAGAAATCAACTGCTCGTCAAAGAAAGAGTGGAAAGACAAGTATAATTAACTAATTTTACAGAAAAAGAAATAAGCATTTTTTGGAAAGCTAAATATTAAAGAACAGATCCAAATTATCTGATTTTAAGACTATGGTAAAACAAAGAAACTTTCTTATTTCAATATTTAGCACATTCTTGATTGATACACACGAAGCCCACCCTATCAAAAACAAAGTCTGTCCTTACAAAGCTTTAACAAGGAAATATTATGCGTCGGCGTCTATAGATTAGCCCTGTGGTTCTAAATTATTTTCTGTCATGCCCCCCCAGGGAACATACCATTTTTTATGCCCCATCTTGAATTGAATACTATTGAGAATCTTATACTAAGCTATTATCTATGCAAACCACTGGAACAAACATTCTGCACCCAATCATCCGAATATGAAAACGGATTAATAAAATGAGCTGAAACCACAACAATTTTAAGTTGTTGCAGCTCATTTTATTGCTTAAAGTTACAAAACTATTTCAGAGCTCAGTTTATTAACTCAATTTGTAACATTTAGTCAAAACTGGCCAGTCTGAAAAGAGAAAAAGTGCAGGGGTGTTAATTTCTTTAAACACAGTAACAATCAAAACTTTTCTAAACTGTAAACTTTGGTTACTTTTCAGCCTATTCAGCTTATTCTTCAAAAAGGTATGTCACTTTTTAACATTTCTTTTGTACAAAACTAGCAAAAATATTGCTGACATTTTAGGTTCCCCCTTTTTTCTTTTAACGGTCAAACTCCTCCATGTCTCCTGCTCCTCCGTCAGCTCTGTGCACCAGTGTGCCTGTGCTGGCTACTTCTTCTACTGGGTAGAAAAGGCAACTTGTTGATTAGTTTGAGCACTGCCACTTAGTTACTGGAGGCTTGTTTTTCATTCAAGCATGAATAAAAACAATAACAAGAAGTCCTCCTGCCTTCCCCCATCATAAGATCTCAACAACCTTAGTTGAATAGTCAAATAGTTCAATTTACTTCTGCTTTCTGTGGGCACGCCTGCTCCTACTAGAGGTACATATTTGACTCCATGTTTGATCTGCAGAACATCATAAATTAAATAATGACTTGCAGAATGATGATTTTGAAGTAGTTTCATTTTTAAAATACTTAAGACAACTCAAACCTGATCCTCGGCATTCTTCAATCATTACAGAACCATCAACGCTGTTATTGATTTGTTGAACCATTTGTTTGTTTCATTATTCTGCAAATAACTTCAGATTTGAGTAAAGCACAGAAGCTACAATAATAATTAAGTGCGAATCACCTGACCCAGGATAGTCCTTAGTTATTAAAAACAGCAAAGTGCTGAGTAGAAAAAACAATATTACTGTCATCCTATTTACTTATGTGCAACGGCTCCTAAAGGGTTGGCAAATAGAAACGAAATAGTATTTGCTTAGCAGTCATCATCTTTCAGGCTTTGTTTAAATTTTCATAAACACTACTGTGGAACAAGTATTGTTACATAAAAAGTTGTAACAACTCTGAATGTTAACTTGCAATTGTATTTTTTTATAGTTACCAAATATCACTTCAAACAATTACAGGGAGAAATTTCAACTGCAACACTGGCAAAATGATAAAACGGGCAGCATAGAGCTTTATGCAATATGTATTTGTAAGGAGAATGTTTTAGTCAATGTTCCATACATGTAGAGTTGTCCTCAGCTTAATGTCTGAGGACAACTCAGATTGTGAATTACCTGTTTTTCAAACTGCATGAAATGGACTATGTTGTTTCTAATACAAATATACCTTTGGAGTGTCAAAATAAAGCAATAATAAACCGATGTGGTTTAATGCTTGGCGACAAGCAGAACTGAATGGGCCTTTCCAAATAATATGCAATCTTATCTTCCACAACTCCTGCACTGATAGATATTTTCATCTGGTTGGTTGTGGGAACAAGAAACAATTGAGGTTGTCACTACCCTGCATCCAATCCCGCTGAAGGTTTTTGTACTTAGAAAATAAAACAAAACTGTTTTTTGCCAACAGTTTTCACCTGCTGCGAAGACGTTGCCAACCTCCACCAGTAATCTTCAGCCATACCTAGCACAACAAGGCTGTCTTAATTAGTAGCCAGAAGATTATCACTACCAATAATCAGCTGGGAAGGAAAAAAATATGTACATGTTTTCACAAGTTCTCCTTCATCTCAGTAAATGTATGCCTTCTTCCTTCCCATTCACATGATTGGTGCATTTCAGTTATACAGGAAGAAATTGGTTTCAATAAAAGGCCACGACTGCTGATAGCTGGCAAAACAATATGAATATCTATTTGAATTGACAAATTTTCAAATTTAACTTCAAACAAATGGTTGAAATGATCAGAAAAAGTTGTATATCAGAACAACATTTAAAAGAGCATTAAAATGCCTTAAAATCCCAGTGATGTTTTTCTGTATTCCTATTTCTGTACTCCTATTGATGGTGTGATGCTAGAATGTACAACTTCACCATAGCGTATCATTGTCTTTTATTATGCTTGCTTGGTGTTTAAAATATGTGCATTAAATCAACTGTAATTATCTTTGAATCAAGTCCATCTCTTTAGATCAGGGTTTTTAAAGAAGGGCCACTGTTTTGCAGTTTTTAGATGTGGCACAGGTACAAACCACAGGAATGCAATGGCTTAATTACCTCCTTTTTGTGTCGAGGCCTGATAATGGCCTAATTATTCTATTCAGGTGTGGTGCAGCAGAGGGCAGTGGCCCTCCATGACTGTAGTTTGACACCTGTCATTTATATTATGCTATATTTTGGCCATTAACAATGACATTGTAGTGTTCAATAATATCTCTGTACTGAGTATGTTACTTTCCTGCACAGCCAGTTAGTTCATTCTCAGAAACATCTATCCAAACTCCCCCAAAGTGGGTTACCCTCTGCTCTCTGCTAACAGGTATAGTTTATTCCAATTTTACCACATCTGTGGCTCCTTCTGCTCCCACACAGGTTCAGGTGTGCTTCTCAAGTAAAGCATGGCTCCTGCCATGGGAAGCTTAATCAACCCCAGCTGAGCCACCTTCACTTCTAAAACACAGAATTTAATCAGAGCTAAAAGAACACCCATAGAGTTCAGACCAGAGTTCTGTTCAGCCCACAAGTGAGAATGTATTTTCTTTTTTTCATAATAATCTGGTTTGCTTTAATGTAGTCCAACTTCAAACCTAATGTCTGCCCAGCACTAATTTATGAATTATATGTGAAAGAAAACATGGTCACCTTATCTCTACTTTTATAAAACCAAACAACCATCTTCAGAAGTTCATTTTGCAAAAATACAGCAAGTTTTGATTTTGAAGAAAAAGAAGAATGTTTAAAGCTAACCGATAATCCAAGAATTTCTAAGACCAACAAGTTATTTGATCTCATTAGGCGTATTGGATTTTCTGTACAAAAAGAAAACTAAATTTTTCCATTTACTTTTTTTTTAAATCAATATTTATTTGATGATCTGAAGCCTGAAAACCAAAATAAAAACAGGCAAGGGGAAGTCGCATCTACTGCAGGCAAGATGTTATCTGCTCACCACTTTTTAACTGCACTTCAAAAGTCTTAAATTATCTCTTTAACTATTATGCCATGGGCGGTTGAGGGGGTCAGTTGTGGCCCAGGGGCACATATTCTCTTGAATCCGGCCCTGAACAGAACCTCTTCCTCTGGATTTCATTCATAACTCCCTGGTCCCGATGAGGTGCTCCATTCAAAGTGAAATGTGATGCAAATTTACAGTCATTCATGCACTTCGACTGGGCCAGAGACAGAGAGACGGGCGAGACAAACTGGACTGAGCACGGTCCATATGATCCTAGCAGCAGGCGGCGGAGGAACCAACTGCGACCCGAAAGATGTGGCACGGATGGTGGAGGATTACGTCATCGTAGGAAAAAAAGGAGGACGCCTCATCACAGCAGACCTTTACCATCCATAATAAAACAACCTCCCATCCAGCAGGCCGATTCAACCCAAAATAACGATTATTAATGCAAAGCCACGCTGAAAGCAGGCTCTCTGTAAGCAGATTATCCACGCAGCCGGAGTGGTGTGACGTTTCTAGAATGTGAAGCCTTGCTTCACCAGTTTGTCACCAACAAGCAACCAAACTCTGTTTCGCATTTTCTGACAGACGGTAAAATAAAAATGTTGCAATGGTGGCGAATGAGCCGCACTGAAAGCTAACTGGACTCGTCATTAAAGGGGCTCATTGTACACTGCCCAATGAATGAGTTGACTCCTTTATGGGATAAAAACAAATAAATAAATAGGCATGTCAACAGAATGGTGCATGGACGGGTTTTAACGCCTCAATGCATGTTTCAAATGCAACGCATATTTCAATAGCTGCTGTTTTTAAACGCAAAAATATTGAATGGGCTAAAAAAAAAGAGCAACTAGCTAACAAGCAGGCAGCATAACACTCACAGCTTGACATGCGTTTAATTTTCTTCACATTTTCCAGTTTTTAAAAATGGGTTGAAATAGAAAAAGCCTTTTCCGAACTGTTATCTCAGTGTTATGTAGCATTTTTAGCCATTTCAGCTGCACGGTGTATAAAAGTGACAGAGCTAAGCTAGTTTGCTAACGTCAACTGTTAGAGGAGAAAAATATAAAGCGTCCCCGTTCTTACCGTCATAAACTGCTCCAGGGGCGTCCAGTTTTTAAGGAATTAAAGTGTTGCTGTGGGAGAAAATGGTTCGTGTAGGGGGGGCGATGTAGCCCGGACATCCAAGATCAGTTGACCCAGTGCCGATGAAAGCCGAGCAGCAGCATCGTTATCACCGCGCCGCCTCACACACATCCATCCAGCAGAGCGGGGCCTCCTCCGGGCTCGACCGTACGGCTTGCTCGGCGACGACGACGACGGATAATCCACAAGACAGAAGCCCCTGCAGCAAGCATTGGCTATACGCGGTACCTATCCAGTCATTTCAGGCCGTCGGAATGAGAAATGAAGTCCCAAAGTGAGCAACGAAAACGCACAATGCGCTTGTCAGAAAGAGAAGAAGGTTGGAGTTGAGAACTGTCGGATCGCAGAGAGAGAAAATGTTGCGTTTCTGACTTTTCCAGCATGAGCCAGCCCGTTGTTGTCAGCGATCCCTGATCGCACTCTCTCTCTCTGCAGCTGCTCTCTTGCCTTGCAGCAACGCAGCAGCGAGCTGTGCAGCGACGTAATTGCGCAACCGCACAGGGTACTGGGGCGTGGCCGACGAGCGGGAGGCGCGGTGTTTGATTTCAAACGCACCAAGGGAAACACACCTAATCCAAGCGTAATTTTAGAGAAATTATTACTTTTTAGAATACGTATTGAAAAGCCTGGAGGCAGCCCTCGTTTTGTTATATTTTGCCCAACAACCAGGCGACTTTTAACTAAAGATGTGCCAGACACAAACACACCAACAGTTTGTTAAAGTGAACTGTCTGCAAGCTTCATTGTTCATAATGTTATTTTTTGCCTGCTGAGCCTGATGCGCCATTTGAAGATCAGCAGTAAACAATATATTTTGTCACTAGAAGTTACACATAAATATTATCGACTGTAAGTTAATATGTTGAAAGTTTAATGTTGAAAAACTGCAGAACAAATGTGTTCTGTATAAATCTGTGTCTTTTTTTAATATCATGTCTTTTTTTTATTTGTGTTATTCTTTTCAATATTAGTATTTAAAATAGCAGAATATGCACAAATCTTTATGGGGGGGTTTTCCTGTCAGATCACACAGCTGCGTCCAAACCCTAAACATTTAGCGTTTGTTCTCCTTAATTTTGGCTTATTTAAAAATAAAAGGTAAATAATTTAAAGAACAAAGCATTGACAAAGATACAGTGACCAAAAAAGGCCAGACAATGAACAAGCTATTTTTTTGTTTGCTCACATCTCAAATATTGCACCAGTTTGCATGAGTGATTCCCATTGAATGTGACCACATTTAAATGGGGCGGGGAATTATACACCATCTGCTGTGAAGCAGAGCAAAAGCAAAAAGGAGATTTTCCTTGTGAAATATCCAAAAAGATTGAAAATGACTGTAGGAGAGAAGAAAATGTTGTTGAATAGATGACGATTGCTCAGTGTCATCGAAGAATGCTAATAAATAAAGATATTCTAATAACTTTTATATTTGTTGTTCAATTGTTACTGTTTCTATGTCTTTGTGTTGAATAATAGAGCATAGACATGTGAGTGAATGTAAGCAACTGAGTTTTTTTTTTATCTAGTTTTCAACCTTAGTGTTTTACTTTTAAAAAATTGTTGAAAATGGGGATAAAATAGGCTAAATTAAAACTATGTATTTTTGTGTATGATAGTATAAAGTTATAAGTGTATGGTCATTGAAGGTATTGATTCAATGTGAATGTTTTGGACTGACAAAACAGAATTATGACATTTATCGTACAGTAAGCTGATGCAAATAGGCTGGATTTCTATTCATAAAAACCTCTGATGCTAAATTACAGAAGCCATTGTGTCATAATAAATCAGTATTTGAGACAATACACACATCTACATATATTTTAAATCTCTTTAAAAGTTACTTCATTCATTTTCTGTATTTTATTCTCTTGACCGTCTATTGAAAGACAACCAGCAGTGCAGCCATTCATGAACATTGCAAATCTTTGCTGCTGGATGCTGTGAGAATGGTGATGCAGGTTGTACTGACCTCCAGTGGCATAAAAAGACAAGCTGCATGTTCCACAACAGCAAACAATGGAGTCATTGTACAGACAGCTCCGTCTGGCATACAATAAAGTGCACTGATGAAGTGGAGTGGCGAGAACAAGACAATGAATCCAGTGTTGTTGATCTGCGCTGCCCAAAGGACACTTTGTAGTTAGAGAAACGATAAAGTGAACATGACAGTTCAACTTTGTCAATTCAGCTCCTGCTCTATTTTTTTTTTCTGCACTTCATCTCACACTAAAACAATAAGTTGGAGCAAAAATATCAAAAGTAAATGAATAAAACATTTGATTAGTTTAACCTTTTGTAGCTTTTTTTAATCAAGAGCAAAATATTAATATGTCTTGGTCTTTTTTCGCATTTTATCACATGGAATGTATTTTGGTGTGATTTCAAATTGTAGTGCATAATTGTGAAGTGGAATGAAAAGTGAATGTCTGTTCTTGTCTTTTTGCCACTAAGAGTATGCAGTGAAACTGATGTGATGTGCATGTATGTAAACAAACAATAATAATTTGTGGTGATGAGCGTTTACATCTCTTTCTAGATCTATATATAGATGTCTGACACACACTTCACTCTGACGTTCCTGCTCCTCAGGTATGGAATGACTTTAGGGCAAAAAAGGTGGAAAATTGTATAAGTCTTACACACATTGGCAAATTGTTTTCATCCAATCACTGCATGGGTGGTAAAGAACCAATCATTACCAACAAGTCTAAATACTATTTGAATTTAAGAAAAACACAAGAGATCACAATACATTTGAATTTTGTAGCCTAATAATATGTAATTGATCACATAAATAAGCTTACTTGGTGGATTTCAGTAACATTTCTTGATCTAATATATCTAATACAGATAAGAGCCACTGCTAGATCTGATCTGTGAATATATATATATATATATATATATATATATATATTATATATATATATATATATATATATATATATATATATATATATATATATATATATATATATATATATATATATATATATAAACATACAGTCTGGATTTGCACTTTATTTGTTTTGACTCCAAAGAGCAATGTGGTAAAAATACAGTTTCTATTGGCAACCTAATTATGCATGTCTATATTTAGTTCACTCTACAGGAAGCTGGATTGAAGATGTAATTAAACAGCATATCTGTCCCTTATTAATGCACAGATGGATGACCTGGGGGAAATTCAAGTGCTGGATGAAGAGGTCTGAGTCACTGAGCTGAAGATTGTAATAGTTTAGTTAGGTTGTACAAAATTAGAGATCCTTTGTGTGTTGTGTTTCTTTTTATCTCACTTGACCTGCAGGAAATACAGACATATTTCCTCCAGTAATTATCATGGCATCATAAATGTCTGATTCTGGATAAATCCAATACTTTTTTTCCTCACTTGAAAAACGTTTTTATTTTGCCGTTCACTGAATATTTACACAGCATACAACATATTGCAAACACAAATAAGGCTTTTTCACATTTGTTACCAGCACTTATTAGCAACAAGCTGTTTGACATGACTGTATTATAAAAAGGCTACTAATGGTGGGTATTTCCACGTGTATTTTTTATGTGTGGATCAGTGATCAAAACAGAATAAAAATTTATTTTACTGTGCTGAAATAAAGATAATGCAATTTTAACTGATTGTAAGCATGGTTTATTGTAGTTTAATATGTCTGAAAAATCTAGCAGCAGCACAAACATAATATTAAAAAAATACTGGACAATAGATTAAGTTCAATGAGTCCCGTTTTATATTAAATAACACCTTATATTCTCACCTACGACATACAAAATACTCATCTTTCTGTAGATAATTGTTTTGGTTATTTCTACCCAGCAGAGGGCGCAATTTATCTGAAACTAGCACAATTCTATCAGTTACTCCATCAAAAATCTCAGTCTATACTCAACAATGAAAGGTTTTTAAACTTTCCTACCACATTTCTGCCAAAATTATTTTTTTTTTGTTTACCGGCCTTTTTATTATACAATCTATTCAGTGTGTGCGTGCATTATTGTTTGTCCGGTCAGCCTCTACAATGGCTCTGTGATACACTGATTGCCACTAACAACCTGGAATTTAGCAAACAAATAAGGTGCTCTAATTAGATGAGACTAAAATTACTTTTTGGCCTACATATAAAATATTATGTGTGGTAGCCAAACAACACAACGGCATCATTTCCACATTGATACATGGTGGAGTACGCATTGTTGGAAGTTCAGACATAAAGAATTTGTTGCAAAACTTTGAAACATTTCTGTTCACAGATGCTCTCCATCCAAACTGACTGAACTTTTGCTATGATGGAATAAAGACAGGGGAAAAGATGATTCTACAAAGTTTTAATTGAAGGTGGGGCAAAACAGGTGTGCAAATTTCTCAGATATTTAATTGGAAAACCAACTAAATTAGAAATGTACAGTTTCTCTTCAATTGTACAATTATTTTTTTGCTACTTTCTGCTGGACCATCACATTAAATCCCATCTAAATATACATAAGTTGGTGGTCATAAAATGAAAAAGTTAAAGGGTTGTTGATATTTTTCACTGTGGCACCTCAGCTTTAAAGCAGTAAATGCCAGCTGAATTCAGAATCAACCACATCTTTTTATTGGATAAAAGTCACAAAGTCACATGTCTGACAGCTTGAATTCTATCTTTTAATGACAAAAAAAATTATATTCAACAGATGCAGAAAGGCATATTTCTATTAGAAATATCTATCTGCTGGTAACAGCTTTGTAGCTTTATGGTTTGTTTCATGTTTTCTCTTCTTTTATCAGAGCGAGGATCCCTTCTCTCCTGGAGGTGTAAGGCGTGTGCTTCAGCTGAAGGACATGAGCAGGAAACAGGTTCCCACTGGGCGCGTACATCTCCTCGCCTTTCTGTCCCATCAGTGAGCGTAGCGTCTTATTTCTGGACAGGATTTTATCATAAAACTCCACTCCTCCTCTGGCGTATTCCCGAGACACTCCCGCTGCATGTTTGTCTGAGCTGTAGTCAATCCACTGGCTGAGAGCGTCAGAGGTGAGAAAGTAAGAAACGGCCCCGATTCCCAGCGCCAGAATGTTCACTCCCAAACGTATCAGCACGGGGCCACCATGCAGGCCGAACACCTGCTTCAGCACCACGCTGTACACCCAAACCCCACCCAGGCAGAACGGAGCGACTGCGGCTGTCAGGACCGGACCCCCGGATTGTAAGCGGGCCACCTCCCGAGCGATGGCGAACTTCTGCGCCTCTGCAGAGAACACCAGTGCCTCCTTGAGAGCAGAGCCAGCCTCGCTGCTCCAGTCCACCGTTTTTCCGTTAATGAAGATGTTGCGGTTGGTTATTCCACTTGGATCGTCTGTGGTGCTGTTAAAGTTGGCTGGGATGCCTATTTGAGCGCCAGCAGGAAGCCAGGGAACACCGGCACCAACCGGGTGGAACCCGAAGGAGGCGAAGGCAGAGAATT